AATTTAGTATGGGACTTTCCCCGAGCTGGCCTCCCCTTGCCCATCGACCCATCGCTGCCAGACTCATGGCGAATGGCGTCGGGTCTCAAATGGACGTGGGGGTTGGAATTTGCAGTGGCTGTCTACTGTGCGTGCGTAACTTTTCTAAGGGGTCCTCGGGCTGGAGCCTGGGAGCCTCGTCGACAAGCCTTCTACCGCTGAGCTACACGTAACTTTTCCTCTTCCCACGTCTCCGTTCAGGCCCTGTCCCTCCGCATTCCCCCGCTGTGCTCCTCCGCGCCCATCCGCCACCATCACGCTTGCTGGTTCCCCCGGGGGAACCTCGTTTATCCTTCGCACTCCCGCTCCGGGGAGCGCCCCGATCGCGGCCGCCGGGCCGGGAGCCGGGGCCCGGGCCGCCTCCTTCCCTCCCGCTGCGGGTCGGCCAGGCCTCGGTGCGCGGCCTCGGGCGCGGGGCGGCGCCGACCGACCTGCTCCAGCAGGTAGATGAGCTGGTCGCGCGCCAGCCTCTTGAGCATGGAGAAGTCCGGCAGCTCCGGGGCGTCGGGGCGGTGGGGGAAGGCCATGGACGCGCCGGCCTGGGCCTCCGTGCGCGGAGGGAGAGGCGCGGGCGGCGGCGGGGCCGCGACGCCCGCACGCCCCGCGCCGAGCCCCGGAGTGCGCGAGCGGCCCCGCGCCACGCAGGGCCGGAGACCCGCCGCCGCCGCCGCGCCCCGCCCCGGCCCGCCGTCCGCGAGGCCCCGGACCGCGGCGACGCGGCCCCGGCAGCGCGAGACCGAGAGACGCGGAAAAGACCACCTTCCGGGGTCCCCGGAAGGCCCGGCCCCAAACCGGAAGTGGACGGCGCCCGGGAAGGGACCTGGCAAAGCCGGAGGCGAAGCGGCAGCGTTCGGGCGCCGCCGGCCGGGGGAGTGCGCCTGGATTACGGCTCTGGCCAGCCAATCCGGGCCCGCACGAGGCAGGGCCGGGCGCGCGCGGCCCCGCGGAGGCCGGCAGCCGGCGGCGCTACCTCCAGGTCTGCGCTCCGAGGCCGGCTCGCCCTCCACCCCGAGTCCCGGCCAGGGGAGGGTGCAGACGGGATTCGGACGGGAGAGAAGAGGATCGCGGTGCGGCCCGCGAAATGGAAGTCCCGCCTGCTCCGTGTGACTCGAAGAGACGTAAATTGGCCAATTCCTACAGTCAGCTGAGCCAGCGCCAGAGGCCAGATGCCAGAGTATGCCTGCTTGGTCTTTTACGTAGGGTTCTAAAACACGAATCTACGGTCAAAAAAACCAAGGAAGAGGCTGCCTTTGGCAATGGGAACTGACCTGGAGATTACGGGGGTGGGAGGCCTGATGGTAATAACGCCACCTGCAGCCGGGCGCCCATGGCTCACGCCTGAAATCCCAGCTACTCAGGAGGCTGAGATCTGAGGATCGCAGTTCAAAGCCAGCCCGGGCAGGAAGTCCGTGAAACTCATCTCCAATGAACCACTCAGAACCCCGGGAGTGGCACTGTGGCTCAAGTGGTAGAGCGCTCGCCTTGAGCTGAAGAGCGCCCAGGCCCAGAGTTCAAGCCCCATGACCGACCAAAAAAAAAAAAAAAAAAGCCACCTGGACTTAAAAGGGAGGAGGGCCTAGGGGGCCTGGCTCAGGATGTGTAGCACTTGCCTAGCCAGTCCAAGGAACTGAGTTCAAACCCTAAAGTTTTGGTGGTACATGCCTATAATCCCAGGGACTCAGAAGGATTGTTTGAGGCCAAAGCCATCAATGGTAGCAGTGAGACCGTCTCAAAAACAAAAAAAGGGTATGCAAAGGCTTTGGCTCAATCCTCTGCATCGAAAAAAGGATTAAAAACAAGGCCAGGTGCTGGTGGCTCACACCTGTAATCCTAACTACTTAGGAAGCGGAGATCAGAGGACTGCAGTTCAAAACCAGCCTGGGCTGGAAAGTCCTTGTATTTATCAAGCATCTGGTCACAAAAATAGATAAGGAATATGGAAAACTCATCCATAAAGTTTTACAGTCTCAGGGCTGGGTAGGTGGCTCAGTGGTAGAGCGCTTGCCTTGCATGCATGAGGTCCTGGGTTCAGCTCCTCAGCACCACATTAGCAAAAAGGAAAAAGCCGGAAGTGGCGCTGTGGCTCAAGTGGTAGAGCGCTTGCCTTGAGCTGAAGGGCGCAGGGTCAACACCCCCCCAGAAATCAAGCCCCATGACGGACCAAAAAAAAAAAAAAGCCACCTGGACTTAAAAGGGAGGAGGGCCTAGGGGGCCTGGCTCAAGATGTACAGCACCTGCCTAGCCAGTCCAAGGAACTGAGTTCAAACCCTAAAGTTTTGGTGGTACATGCCTATAATCCCATGAGGCCAAAGCTATCAATGGTAGTAGTGAGACCCTGTCTCAAAAACAAAAAAGAGTAGGCAAAAGAAGGCTTTGGCTCAATCCTCTGCATGGGAAAAAAGGATTAAAAACAAGGCCAGGTGCTGATGACTCACACCTGTAATCCTAACTACTTAGGAGGCTGAGATCAGAGGACTGCAGTTCAAAACCAGCCTGGGCTGGAAAGTCCTTGTGTTTATCAAGCATCGGGTCACAGCGACAATAGATAAGGAATATGGAAAACTCATCTATAAACTTTTACAGTCTCGGGCTGGGAAGGTGGCTCAGTGGTATGGCGCTGTAGCTCAAGTGGTAGAGCGCTCGCCTTGAGCTGAAGAGCTGAGGGACAGAGCCCAGACCCAGAGTTCAGGCCCCATGACTGGACCCTAAATAGATAGATAAATAAAAAGTTTTACAGTCTCTGGGGCTGGGAAGGTGGCTCAGTGGTAGAGCGCTTGCCTTGCATGCATGAGGCCCTGGGTTCGATTCCCCAGCACCACATAAGCAAAAAGAAAAAAGGCTGGAAGTGGCACTATGGCTCAAGTGGTAGAGCGCTAGCCTTGAGCTGAAGAGCTGAGGGACAGCGCCCAGACCCAGAGTTCAGGCCCCACGACTGGACCCCCCCAAAAAGTTTTACCGTCTTGGGGCTGGGAAGGTGGCTCAGTGGTAGAGCACTTGCCTTGCATGCATGAGGCTCTGGGTTCGAATTCCCCAGCACCACATTAGCCAAAAGAAAAAAAGCCAGTTTGGCACTGTGGCTCAAGTGGTAGAGCTCTAGCCTTGAGCTGAAGAGCTGAGGGACAGCGCCCAGGCCCAGAGTTCAGGCCCCACCACTAGACCAAAAAAAAAAAGTTTTACAGTCTCATAATTTCCATAGACCATGGGGAAAGGGCCTTAAAAGACAGATGACTTCCAAGTTAGAGTGACAATTGTAACTTGTCAAGCAGCATTAAATACCTCTCAAGTAAATCTCGAGAGAAATGTCCATCAGTGTAACACCATAAAAATATCTGTCTTTACCGTGAACTACATGATGATCACAGGCATTGAGAGTAAGGGTTATTCTGTGGTTTCTAGAATTTTGGTCATGTGATGGGGCTTTGTCCTGTACACCAAAGAACAAGTGTCAAAATTGCTGTGGCAGGGACTCGGAAGGTGGCTCAGTAGTAGAGCGCTTGCCTTGCATGCATGAGACCCTGGGTTCAATTCCTCAGCACCAAATTATCAGAAAAATCTGGAAATGGCGCAATGGTTCAAGTGGTAGAGCGCTAGCCATGAGCTGAAGAGCTGAGGGACAGCGCCCAGGCCCAGCGTTCAGACCCCACAACTGACAAAAAAATAAAAAATAAATAAAAAATTGCTGTGGCATCACAATTCCAGCAGGGTAAGGATGTCAGTGTTTTAACAACCTTCATTCACTTAAACATGTATAGCAAACTGAAACACTGTTGGAAATGTTATTTTGTTTTTTGTATGTTTCATCCTACATAGAGCCACAGCCAGGACTAATAAAAGAACAAACAGATTTAACAGGATGCATAGTACACAGTGCAGTGTTCTTTTGTATCAGTGGAGACCTGAGTCACGACTCAGCACCAACACTCAGCTAAATTTTCTTATTTATAAAAGGGACTGAAATCTGTTCTCGCCCACCTCATAGCGCCTCTGTAGAATCAGATGTCATTTAACCTTTAGAATGTTGGCTGGAGAGGGCTGGGAAGGTGGCTCAGTGGTAGAGCGCTGGCCTTGCATGCCTGAGGCCCTGGGTTCGATTCCTCAGCACCACATAAGCAAAAAGAAAAAAGCCAGAAGTTGCACTGTGGCTCAAGTGGTAGAGAGCTAGCCTTGAGCTGAAGAGCTGAGGGACAACGCCCAGGCCCAGAGTTCAGGCCCCATGACCAGATCCAATACAACAACAACAACAACAAAAAAAAAAAGAATGTTGGCTGGAGAGGGCTGGGAAGGTGGCTCAGTGGTAGAGCGCTTGCCTTGCATGCATGAGATCCTGGGTTCGATTCCTCAGCACCACATAAGCAGAAAAAGCTGGAAGTGGCCCTGTGGCTCAAGGGGTAGAGTGCTAGCCTGGAGATAAAGAGCTGGGGGACAGCGCCCAGGCCCAGAGTTCAGGTCCCACGACCGACAAAAAAACAAAACAAAAAAAATAAAATGTGGCTAGAGGTTACACTGGTGACTATAAAGCCTATGCCTGCTTTCTACTTTTTGCAGAACCCCAGCAACTAGGAGAAAAATGTTCAACTTTAAAATCTGCCACTGAGCCAGTGCCCTGCACACGGCTCTTAGGAGTCTCTTTTGGACCCCACTGACGTAAAATTTAATGACAAGGGTTGCGGGTTCCTTCCCTTTCCTTCCACCTTTTCCATCCTCTCACTCTCCCAGATTCTTAAACAAATTGTAGTCGGGAAGGTGGCTCAGTGGTGGAGCGCTTGCCTTGCATGCATGAGGCCCTGGGTCCGATACCTCAGCACTACATAAGCAGAAAAGGCCAGAAATGGCGCTGTGGCTCAAGTGGTAAAGCACTAGCCTTGAGCTGAAGAGCTGAGGGACAGCGCCCAGGCTGAGTTCAGGCCTCACAACTGACAAAAAAATAAAAATTCACACAAATAAATTGTAGCCCCACAGAGTAGCAAGCAACTGCCACATGGCTCCACTGGACTTTACTTCTGCTCAGAAGGGAACCAACAGGTGACTGGGCACTATTAGTATCACTAGTGTTCTGCAGTCGAGGAGGAAATAAAGGCAGAAGGCAGGCTCCTCATTTCCTCCCAAATACATTGTCACCAGTATCACAGAAACTCACAGCCACACAAATGGCAGATTCCAATACCCGGGAAGTCCAGCCAATGTAGGTGACTGAGGATTGCCAATCCACGGGGATCAGACTGGAAGCTATGCTCCAGGAAGCTTCAATCTATCGAAACTGCAGGTTCCTCATGTCCTCCAACTGCAAATTGGCCAATTCATAGGCAAAAATCCTGCCAGTTGCCCAGGTCAATGCCAAAGCTAGTCCCAGCTCAAATTCTGTACAGGAAGTTCCCATTGCTATCATAGAACTCCTGCCCCCTCTGTACAACTTTAGGGCTGAAGTTCTGGCCATCTGGCTCCCCTGCCTTCAACTCCTGCATCCTGTCCCTGTTTGGCCACCTACTGCCGTCAGGCGTGGAGTCCTCAGGGTCACTGCGGGGGCATTTCTGCAGTTCTCTCCGATGACCCGAGGCTGTGGTGCAGGGAACCTCGCTCTCCTTCCGCAGGCCCTGCACTCCCTGACTCCCCCCCTTCTGTCTCCTGGGAGAGTCTTTGCTGTGAGCGGGGGACGCTATCATTTCCAAGGCGGTGTGGTGACTCTGACTTGTGGCTGAGGCTTCATCCCCCGGAATAAGCAAAGAACCCGCTCTGCATGGCGGCAAGCTGTGTCCAGAGCCGGGGCGCTGCCAGGCAGGGAGGGCAAGCCCAGCTTTCTTAAGGACTTTTTGATCCTGCTTCAGTTTCTGCTTCAAAGTGGGCACAAATTTGCTTTTCAAAACTCTCCGGATAACATCAGTGCTGACGTCAAAGCCTTCTGCCAATCTGGGAACTGACCAGGACTCTGCAAATTCCTCGTGCAAATACCTATAGGAAGAAGGAGCAGGTTTTCAAGTTGTGAAGAAGTTTCCTACCAGAATAGCAAATGGATAACACCAGGGATAGGTAAGTGAAGAGGAGGCTCGCACAAGATGCAGATGCCGTCCCTATGTGGAGCTGGTTCACAGCAATGAGAGCACCCAAGAGGAAGAGTTCAAACCCCAGCAACTGCCGAGAGAAAGCAACACTGCGAGACCGGCTATGGAAACCAGTCTCAATGCATACTTCCTGGTATGTTCAGATCTGTTCTGATTTGTAATACATTCACTATTCAAAATAATATATATATATATATATATATATATGCCTTAAAAAAAAAAAGCAGGGGGCTGGGAAGGTGGCTCAGTGGTAGAGCACTTGCCTTGCATGCATGAGGCCCTGGGTTCGATTCCTCAGCACCACATTAAAAAAAAAAAAGTTGGAAGTGGTTCTGTGGCTCAAGTGCTGAAGTGCTAGCCTTGAGCTGGAGCTGAGGGGCAGTGCCCAGGCCCGGAATTCAAACCCCACAACTGACAAAAAAAAAAAAAAAAGCAGGATATGGTAGCACATGCCTACAATTCAAGCACCGAGAAGGCTGACACAGGACTGTGGATATAAGGCCAGACTAGACTACAAATTGAGCCCCTATTTAAAGAGATATTTTTTTCATGTAAAAATTAAAGCTTTTTTTTTTGTCAGTAGGGCTTGAACTCTGGACCTGGACGCTGTCCCTCAGCTCTTCAGCTCAAGGCTAGCGCTCTACCACTTGAGCTACAGTGTCACTTATGGTTTCCTGGTGGTTTATTGGTGATAAGAGTTTCACGGACTTTCCTGCCAGGGCTGGCTTTGAACCATGATCCTCAGATCTCAGCCTCCTTAGTAGCTAGGATGACAGGCCACCGGCGCCCAGCCAAAAATTAAAGCTTTAACAACAACAACAACAAAAAAAAAATCCCTTTCAAAACTTCTTTAAGTTATTGATCCTTTAAGTTATTGACCCTACTCTCCTCCCCGCGCCCAGAAAAAAAGTTGGGAGTAATGATTTACTATCCAGATTACATGCTGTGATGCCCGCAATTTTCTATTTCAAATTTCTAGCAAAGGGCTGGGAAGGTAGCTCAGCCTTGCAAATTTCTAGCAAAAACAAACTGGCTGTGCCATCGCGTTACAAACTCAGTCCAGGCTGGAAAAGCAGCTCGGCGTGGAGCTCTGGGGCTCCGGGGCTGCGCTGACACCCCGCGTCCCAAAGACAGGCGCTGCACTGGGCAGGCTGCGCACCTCCGTCACACCGCGGTCTGCGGAGGCACCGAGAGGCTCACCGGATCTGCTCCATGGCTTCCCTCGTGAGGGTTCTGGGTGGGGCACCGGGCGCCTCCATCTGCCTCCGAATTTTCTGGAATCGCATTGCTTTTCTCTGTCTTTGCAGGGTACTGGGGGAAGAGAATGGAGGGCGGAAGCCATGCGTGGAAGCGAAGGCAACCCGGCCATGACCTCCGGCTTAACATCGCTCCCAACGGCGCCCCGAAAACCGAACCTAAACCTACGACTGTCACGGCCCGGGAGCGTGCCGGACACCACCCACGGGGGCCAGAGGTCACCAGGGGGCGCTCGGGCCCGCGGGAGCGGAGACGAACGCCTGCCCCCGTGCCACAGATGGCAGGGCCAGGGCCGCTGCGGACGGGGCGGCCGGCCCGGGGGGACGGTCGCTTGGCCTGCAGCCTCGGGGGGTGGTCGGCCCGGAACCCCGGGGGACGGCCGGCCCAGAACCCCGGGGGGGCGGCCCGGAGGCCCGGGGGGGGGGACGGCCGGCCCGCAGCCCCGGAGGACGGCCGGTCGGTCGGCCCGGAACCCCGGGGGCCGGTCGCTTGGCCCGCAGCCCCGGAGGACGGCCGGTTGGTCGGCCCGGAACCCCGGGGGGGGCCGGCCCGCAGCCCCGGAGCGCCGGGCCCTGCTTCAGGCCGGGGGCCCGGGAAGCCGCCGGTACCTCAGCACCTCCTGTAGCTCCCGCTCCTCCTCCAGCTCCCAGTCGGAATCGGGGTCCGGCTCTCGGCCGAGGGGGCCGGGACCGGGGCCCGCCACCCCCCGGGTCGCGAACCCACAGCGGGCGACCAAGGGGCGGAGCCGGCCGCCCAGCCGGAGGCCCAGCGCGGCCGCCATGCCGACGCGAACGCCCCGCGCTAGCTCCCGGCGCCTCACGCCGGCGCGGGGGGCGGGCCCGGAAGTGGCGGCCGGTACCGGAAGCTGTGGGCGGGGCCGGAAGCGGCCTCCCTCTCCGCGCGGGTCTAAATGAGAGCCTGGACGCGCCTGGAAAACGACATAAACTTTAATAAAAAGTCGGGTTCGATGCCGGGGCCCCGCCCGTGGCCGGCGGGCGGGGCGAAGCCCGGCGGGACGCTCCGCGCCGCGGGAGCCGGGGAGCCGGCTCCGCTGGGAAGGGGTCCCCGCGGGACCCCCGGCCCCGGCCCCGCGGGACCCCCCGGCCCGGCCCCGCCCGGGGCCCGCAGCGCGCCGGCCCCGGCTCTTGGGCGGCTCGTCGGCACCGCTCCCCGCAGACGCGCGCCGGAGGCCCGGCGGGGCGCCGTGTCCCGCCCGCCGCCGGCCGGGGCCCTGGCCCGATCCCGGGCGGCCGTCCCGGGGCCGGGGTGGGCCGGGGCGGGTGGAGCGGCCGGGCCTTCCCGCCCGCCCTCACCGGTACTGGCTGAGGTTGAGCGCGGCGCCGGCCCGCTGCGGCTGCGTCACGGGCGCCGAGGCGGGGCAGAGCGGGTGCGCCCGGGCCCGGGCCGCCCTGCGCTCGGGGTGCGCCCCGGAGGGCGCGGCGCCCTCGCTCCACACAGGCCCGTCCTCCCTGTCCCGCTGCAGGACGTAGCCCTGCTTCGGGGTCAAGGTCGGTGGCACCGATCCGGCCAGGTTCCGATTGATGGCCTCCAGCCTCCTGCTGGCCTGGCTTTCTGCGGTGGAGACACGGGGCCCCTCTTCACCGGCTTCCCAACGGCCACGCACCCCGTGCCCCGGGGCGTCCTGGCCGCACCCCGTCACGATCGCACCGCCGTCCTCTCCCGCCCCCCCTTGGTAAGGGCGGGGGCCGGGTGTCTGCCGTAAAGGGATGCGCTATTGTCACACTTACGACTAGTGAGCCGGACTCTGGCGCTGGAAAAATAGTGCCTCCTGTGGCTCTTGGTTGAGGATGAGCAGGAGCCAGTGGCGGCCGGGTCTCCCGTCCAGTTGAAGTTCTTGGGCTTCAGGCGCTGGGTGGTTGCCGCATTCATGCTTGACAGTGGCCCTAAGACCCTGGGGGTCAATACCTGGGGCCGAAGTGGTTGCGCGATGTGAAGGGGCCCCTGCTCTGACGCGGCCCCTCTCAGGAGCACCAACGGCACCAGATTCAGAGGTTGCAGTTCTTGACCGCCCAGCCCGTCCTCGTGATGTCTAGGCTAGAGGAGAAGAGCAGCCCCCGTCACACCTGTGCTGAGGTGGGATGGAGTGCTGGAAGAAATACGTAACAAATCCACTCTAGGCCATAGCCACTAATGAAGCAGTTTCTCCTTTGGGGTTCAATAACAACAACAAACACAGAGCACCCAACGGGTTTGCCTGGGGATTAGTGAATGCAACAGCTGTTTTGTTGGCCCAAGATTGTTGACTTACTTATCTCCCCTCTCTGTAGGCAGGCCACTAGCGGGGCTGGGGAGATGATTACTCAGAAACTTCGTAGTGTGGGGGTGGCCTTGTTATTTGTCAGTCAGGAGTTTGGGGCGGGCATTACTGTGAGGAACAGAGAGCAAGTCTCTTGGAATTGAGAAAGGAGGGGGCTGCACTTTGCCAGGTGTCAGTACCAGAAACAACGGTGTTTAGAAACATGCAAAAGAACCCACCGGCCGGCGCCGGGTGCGCTCCGCTCTGCCAGGCTCGGTGAATTGATGCATCACAGCAACCTCCTCTGGTTTAACCACCACCAGGAGCTGGCATCGCAGCCCTTGTTCCCTTGCTTTGTGGGAGGCTTCACGGGGACCCTCACCCGATACTCAGGAAGATTTTTCTGGCCCCGGTGGTTGGGGTGCAGCATTCGGTGAAGCTGCTCTACAATACCCAGGCTTCGGATAAGATTCTCCCTCTGCAGCATGCACTTCATCCGCTCCAGCTCCTCCTCTTCCACAATTTCTTGAGGCTTCATGGTGTCCAGTACTTGTAGCTGCTACAAGGTACACAAGAAATTAATGCAGTTCTTTAAGGCCAAGTCCCCAACCCTTAGCAAGGATGCTACTGGACCCCTGCCCACTCTGTTCCTTCCCTTCCCTGGCCTATAGCAAGGCTCCCTTTCCTCTAGTCTCTCACTTCCCTTCCAAAAGGTCAGATTCAATCTACTGACCAGGAGCTCATCTCTCTCAGGCAAGGGAGGGACAGGCAGCAGGGATTCCCCGTGGAAAGACAAGAGCCACAAAACTCCCGGCACCTCTTTTTCCTGGTGCCGGTTCCGGTGAGCCAAGTGAGTGCAGAGGCCCTGCGGCCTTGCCCCGCATCGACTCTTCTCCCCGACGGACTCTCCCAGGCTCTGGTCCTTGTCCTTTCTCTTTCTGGTGCCTGAGTTCTCTTTTTGTTCCTGCTTCTGGCGAATCTCTTCCAGTTGCTGCCTGACCAAGACAGGGCAGTGTCAGACTCTTGCAGGCACGGTGTTGGAAGAAGGGGGTAAGCAGTGATCTAGAATTGGAACTGATGGGCAAGGAAAGACAAGGAAGGAGACACACACTGGAGAGGAGAGGGTCATTCGGGATCTGATAGCTCATTCCTACTTTCTCACGTTCTGGGCTTCTTCTGCCCCTGCTGGGGGGGTGGGCAGTCAGCTCCAGGGCGGGCCCAGCACCTGCAGCCGTGGGGAAGCAGCAGGGTGAGGTACCTGGCACACTCCTCTCTGGCCTTGGAGGCGGCAGTCTCCTGGAAGAGGGAGCCGTAGTGCTTGAAGAAGGGCTTATACTTCTCTGAGTCCGGCCCGGGGTAGATCCTCCGGTACCCGCCCAGGTGGGAGTCCTCGTATCGCTCCTGGTCCCGCATGGCTGCCTGGGAGGACTCCATCTGTTCTTGCCTGTGGAAACCAAGCTCCGGGGAGCGGGAGGGTGGCGGTGAGAATGCGCAGTAGGGAAAGCCGGGTTGGCTGGATGTTCACAGCCTTCTACTCCTGCTGGGCCTCCAGACCCCTGGCCGTGCCTGGCCCAGGCCCACCTTGTATAATATCACCATGGACACAGGCTTGGTGTTCAGAAATTGGAGTCCTCTCTTAAGCAAGAACTCCAAGTTACCAAAACTCTCCTAGGTTTCTAAGAGAAACATGCTCGGCTAGCACCCTACCACTGGAGCCGCCGCTCGACTTCTGGCTTTTTTTGTTGTTGTTGTTGGCCGTGGAGCTTGAACGCTGGGCTTGGGCGCTGCCCCTCAGCTCTTCAGCTCAAGGCTAGTGCTTTACCACCTGAGACACAGCACCACTTCCGGTTTTCTGATGGTTTATTGGAGGTCAAGAGTCTCAGAGACTTTCCTGCCTGGGGAAGGCTTTGAATCATGACCTTCAGATCCTCAACTTCCTGAGTAGCTAGGATGACAGGTGTGAGCCACCAATGCCTGGCACTTCTTGCTTTTTGCGGTTAATCAGAGGTAAGAGCCTCAGACTTTTCTTGCCCAGGCTGGCTTCAAACCCTGATCCTCAGCTCTCAGCCTCCTGAGTAGCTAGGATGACCGATGTGAACCAGCAGTGTCTGGCTACAAATATCTTTTAATGTTTGCCTATGACTCTCACTGTGTAGTTTGAGGCCCAGGCTGGCCTCAGACTCCCAGTGTCTGTGTATCAGGTGTGTACCACCACACCTGGCTAATAAAACGTCTCGTGCTGATATGCAAATAGTTCTGGAATACATCAGCATGCAGAACACAGGGTGAAAATTACACCATGTTCCAGTTGGAGAGGGAGAGGACTATTTTCAACAAATGCATCGTGTGTATGCAGGTTTAAACTTTACACTGAGAGTGTTGACTGGCCCCAGAGAGGAAAACTAGGCAGCTGGAGGAGAAGGGCAGGGGAAAGACTGGTGGTTGAACCATGGCCATGCTGCGTATAGGACTTATTATCTATGCAGATGTGAGTCAAACAACATCCATCATAGGTCATCAGCCCCCCACGTGGCCCTCCCTCTCTGGGGGGGCTTTCCAGGGGCGCGGGGCGGGGCGGGGCAGGGCGCACCTGTTCTCCCGCAGCGGCAGGTGGCACTGGAGCAGCCGCTCCTTCACACGCCGCTTGTCCTCCTCCAGCACCTTCCTCTTGTCACAGCCCCTGAGGTTCACGAGCGTCATGGAGTCACACAGAAGCGCGTCCTTCACCTCTCGATCCAGACGGGAGTCGGTGGTGAAGCTCGGAGAGTGGTTTACCTGCCGGAGGAGCCGTCATCCACCCCTCTGCAGACCGCCTGAGAAGGCTGGGCAGTAGGGGGGGATCCCACAGGCCGAGCTCCAGGTGGGGGGGGATGAGGCGGGACGCTCCGGGCCGTGCAGTCAGCCGGACTGCAGAAAGAGTCCCTCCAAGCGCAGCCGGGGCGCCCCGGCAGGTCTGGCATTGGAGGCCACCAGAGCTTTCACATCCCTCCCCTGTCCACCACCCCAGGGCACCCGTGCACAGGTCTCCTGCTCGGGGTGGGCTCTGGATCCTGGTCAGGCCAAGCCCGGGAGAGCAAGCCCACCTCCAGCAGCCACGGCTTCATCTTGTGGTCCAGCAAGACGTCAAAACCAAGGATCTCAAAGCAGGCACAGATGCCTGCGCTCAGGTACTGGGGAAAGCAGGTGCGGTAGTTGTGGCGGAGGACGGGGTGGGCCGAGATGACGGTCTTGATGATGATGTCCTCGATGTCCTCCCACAGCTCCCGGGGGTCATGGCTATGCTCCTGCAGCCAGGCGTTGAGCGTCGACAGCTTCCTGGGAGGCCCAGTGCTCAGAGGAAGGTCAGGTTCTACCAGCGGGGCCTGGCCGCAGGTGGCTGCTCCCTGGGATGGACCCTAATTCTGTGTGGTGCCCCTCACTTCCAAGGGCAGCGCTAGCCGGGGGAGCCAGTTCCCAGGTTTATTAGTGACGGTCTGCGCTCAGAGCTCAGGCACAGGACAGGCTTATAAAGGCAGAGTGTTTTTAGGCAATCAGCCTGCTGAAAGCCAGCCAGGCACTCATGGGATCCAGGAACGGTGGGCTTAGGGGCACAGGAAGGAGAAATGGAGAAGGTACCTCTTACTGCCCGTGGAGTCGTCCCGGACAAAATTCTCATTGCGTTTGTTGATGGCATAGTTGGTTAGGTGCATGCAGACATCTTCCTGCCCCCGGGGGGGGGGGGGGGGAGTGGCCTGGTGGGCTCATGCTGCTGGGCACTCCTCCTCTCCTCCTCTCATCTCCCAGCCCCCAGCCCCCTCCCCGGTGGCTGTGCAGGGGAAGGGGTGCTGGGCACCTCCTGGGATCCCAATGCTGCCAGTTCTCCCTTGAACCCTTCCCCCCCCCCCCCCCCCGCAGCGGAGGGAGGAGGGAGAGGCGAGAGGCGGCAGCCTGTCCTCACCAGGTTGTTATTGGTGGGCTCCACATAGGGCCTGGTGGCAAAGCGGGCCAGGCCTTCCTCATACATGAAGATGCGAAGAGGGTCACAGGATGTGATCAGGACGTAGATCCGCATGTCAAACTTGAAGCCATCGATGAGGAAGGGCTGAGAGCAGGCAAACCCACGGGAAAGAGCACGTCCTGAACTGCTCAGTTCCTACTGAGTGCCACCCTCGCGGATGCTCGCAGTCAGACCACGTCGCGATAGGCACGCTAGGTGCACGAGGAACGCCGTAATGACATGAGGATGCCGGGAATCCTTGTGATGGCCACAGAAAGTGGGTAAGAACCCCTCCCCCCAAAACAACTAGGAGCTGGGAAAACTAGAGATCCAACCAGAGCGGGATGGCGGTGAATCCCGCTGGCTCCATCCAGCCCGAGGTGGTGCGTGCAGCCAGGGGTGCAGGAGCGGGGACCCCGGCTCCTCCCTTGGGGAAGGGTGGGCTCTGAGGCCCCCTGACCTTGGAGATGTACTGCTGGCAGATCATGTGCTCCCCTGGCTTGACCTCCCGCGGGCTCCGGGTGATGAAGATGCCGCGGCCCTGGCTGCCGCTGTCTGGCTTGCAGATGAAAGTCCGGGTCTTCCGCTGGCGCCCGTAGGCCTGGAAGTCGCCGTAGCTGTGTGCAGGGAGGGGCTGGTCAGAGGTTCTGTCCTAGGGAGAGGGCTTCCTGCTTCCAGCCCTCCGAGGAGACACACCCCTTGTGTGTCCACAGGCCGGGGTCCAGAGGGGACCCCTGCCCGTCCACGCCCCGCCCCCGCACACCCCGGGGGGTGAGGCTCACTCTGCCGGGAGACACCAGGTCCGGGGGAAGATGTTGTACTCGGTGGGATAGAGCTTCTGCATGCGGTTCAGGTTCCGGGCCAGCAGGTCTTTGCGGCAGATCTCCGTCATACCAGGGAAGTGGTTGATTTTCTGAAAGAGAGGCAGCAGAGGACTGGTGAGGGAAACGGGGAAATCGAGGCACACACTGCGTATGGCCCCCAGCGTGACAAAACCCAGGGTTCTCAGACAGACCCCTCCTTGACTGGCCATCCCCAGCCTCGCCCCAGGGCCAGGGGATGGGGGCGGCTGGACCGAGGTCTCCCAGCCAGGACGCTGGGCCTTCTACACAGCACTCCTCCACAACAGGAAGAAATAACGACACTGAGAACCAGCTGCCCAGAGACCGCAGGCTCTGCCGTGACGCCACGGTGGCCCGGCTGGCTGCTCTCCCGCTCTGCCTCTGCCTGGTCACCTCTTGAGCCACACCCCGGCCTTCTCTGGGTTTCTGGGCACTTTTTTTTTGTCTATAGTGAGGTTTGAACGCTGGGCCTGGGCGCTGTCCCTCAGCTCTTCAGCAAGGCTAGCGCTCCACCACTTGAGCCACAGCGCCACTTCCGGCTTTTTTCTTTTTGCTTATGTGGTGCTGAGGAATCGAACCCAGGGCCTCAGGCATGCAAGGCAAGCGCTCTACCACTGAGCCACCTTCCCAGCCCAGGCCCCCAATTTTTTTAAAAAAAGAAATGTATCCCCATCATTAAAGCTATGCATGGCGTATTACTAACCACCCTGCTCTGTTTTTGAGACAGAGTGTTGATATGTAGTCCAGGCTGACCTCAGACTTGTGAATGTAATGCCTCAGCCTGCCAATGACACTACCACAGGTCTGCGTGCCACCTAGCGTTGCACCAGCCTGATGTCTCCATAGCTGTGGGATGCCAAACTGATAAGGGCGTGGGGGGGAGGGGAGCCGGACTGTCCAGCTGGCCTTGCTGTTGGCTACTGTGTCTTAGGATCAAACCCGGGAGCTCAGGCATGCAAAGCAAGTGCTCATCACGGAGCTACATCTCCCAGCCCCCCCCCCCCCCCCCCCCCGTCCTGCAGGAGGCAGGCAGAGCAAATCACCCACGGAATGTGCTCAGCAAGAGAACAGTTTTATTGGAGCAGTAGATCCTTGAGTCTCTGGGAAGACCCGGATGCACACAGTGTAGCCACAGGAAGTGCCAGGATGGAGGGGTGGGGGTGGGGTCATTTCGGATCCCGGGCCGGGCCCTCGGTACCTGAAACCTCTTCATGTCCATGACTCGTTCCAGTGAGACGGAGCAGTCTGTCCAGTACACCGTCCACTCTTCGTCCTCCCCCACCTCCTTCAGGCCACAGACCTGCGCTGCCCGCCGCACTGCAGAGACGGCAGCGTCAGTGCTGCCGGCTCAGGCCCCAGCAACAAGACCAGGACTCCAGCCGGCTCGTGGGAAGGACAGCACAGAACCCACCGGAGGCCGAAAGGGAGGTCTCAATTCCGAGTTCATGAACTGACAGGCGCCCACCATACACGTCAGACCCTTCTACCCTATTGGGTGAAGAAGACACAAGCGTCTGGACCTTTGACCCTTGCCCCTTGACCAGGACTGTGTCCTATGTAGGGATCAGACTGGCCGCGTGGACGACCCCTCAACTGATGACAGAGGGGAAAGAGAGGACGAAGGGGAAGCCCGGCCTAGCGGGAATTTTTGTTTTAATTGTTGATGTGCCTTCAAAGTCCATGAGAAGAACTAGAGTCTTCTTGGTTTGGTTCGTGGCACTGGGGACCCCTCAGGGCCTTGTGCATGCTAGAGAAACTCCACCACCCACCTGCAGCCCTTCTCTCCGCCAGCGCTGGAACACATTTTAAAAAACTGGCAAAAGGCCGGGGGCTGGTGGCTCACCCCTGTAATCCTAGCTACTCAGGAGGCTGAGATCTGAGGATCGCGGTTCAAAGCCAGTCCTGGCAGGAAAGTCCATGAGACTCTTATCTCCAATAAACCACTGGAAAAGCAGAAGTGGCGCTGTGGCTCAACAGGTAGAGCGCTCACCTTGAGCTGAAGAGTGCAGGGACAGTGCCCAGGCCTAGAGTTCAAGCCCCATGACCGACCAAAAGAAAAAAGAAAAAAAAAAAAACGCAAAACGGGCACAAGAGCAGGTCTCCCATGTTTCTTTTTTCCTGTTAGCTAACTGTGGCAGCACCCTCGCTACCCCTGAGACGAGTTCAAACTGCCAGGAGCCCAGCGGGGAGACCCAGGAACCTCAAAATAGGTTCTAGGCTGGCAGGGCAAACCCCAGGGGCTGGGTATGAAAGGAGGCCTGGAAGGAGCTGGGGGATCATAAGCCTGCATTGTCCATACTGCCTTCCAGCCCGTTCTAGGGTTCAGCCCTCAGAGCCCCCCGCCGGCACTTACCGCTCTCATACTTGCAGTTGGTCAGGTTGATGGTCAGGGGTCTGGAATGGAGGAATAGCAGAAATCAGGCTGAGCAGGGGAGGGGACAGGTCCTGGGCAGAAGAGACGCCCAACAAGTTCCCAACATAAGTGCCTTTTCTCTAGATGCAGCTTCAAGGACCAGGTGGCATCCACAGGAGTAAATTCCAAACCGAACCCATCCTGAGGGTCCTGAATTTTGTTTTTCTTAAACCAGAAGGTGAATGACTCCCACCTTGGAAATGCTGTGGGGGTGGGGGTGGGGGTGACTCCCGGGACCTAAGTCCCCAGGGGACAGGGCACCTGCGTTTCCGCCTTCTCTTTCTCCTCCCAGCCTCGGCTTCAGTCGTGGCTACAGTTTTCTTTGGAATTTTCTTGGCTACCCTGGGTAAGTGAGCCCCATTCTTAAGTGGCTTTGAGGCGGTGTGTTGCAAAGGTTTAGCAGGGATGAGCACTTCCTCTCTCACACACTCCTCCTCGGATTCCTCCTCCACCTCCTCATCCTCCTCCTCCTCCTCCTCCTCTTCCTCCATGAAGTCCTCCTCGGAATCACTGGACTTGGAGGTACTGAGCTCCATGGTCTTAGATTCTAAGGGGAAGGGGTGGGAATGATACAGACATGATATCAGCTCTCCTTCCAGGCCTGCAGGAATTCACCTGAAGGCTCTTGGGGTGTTGAAAGGGTGCTGCCAAGTAGGAGGTGTGGGGAGAGAGCCAGCGGGAGGAAGCTGGGACAGATGTGGAGTTCTAACCACCCGGGGTCACGCAGGGCCGGGCCGGGACACACCACAGTGCGCTCAGGAGGTCAGGGCTGGCAGGAGTCGTGGCCTTGGCTTTGGCCAACATTGTTAGGGGATGGGAAAGGAGCTGCTGGGAGAGCCAGTGGGTGTGTTTGGGAAGATCTGAGCATTCGAACGCAGCTGAAGAACAAGAAAGAATGGTGCAGAGTGAGCAACATGGAATGGCGTGGCGTTCGTGCATGATGATGACATAAAGAATCTCGCAGAAGGTGTGTGGTAGGGGAGGGGGAGACAGCAGTGGAGGTTAGTCTGATTAAAATGCATTACAAACCCTGGAAACAGGAAAAGAGGACAGCTCTGGTGTTTGAATTCCAACCAAGGGTGTGAGGCATGGCCATAATGCACGCGCACGTGAGCACCGTGCTCAGACCTACACACTAGTGTAAACCTACACCTCTGCTCACGTTAGTGTAAGCCTACACACCTGCGTGTGCTAGTATAAAATTATACCCCTTCTCACGCTAGTGTAAGCCTGCACACCTGCATGTGCTAGTGTAAAACTACACCCCTGTTCACACCAGTGTAAACCTACACCCCTGCTCATGCTAGTGTAAGCCTACACATCTGCGTGTGCTAGTGTAAAACTATACCCCTGCTCATGCTAGTGTAAATCTAAACCCCTGTGCACGCTAGTGTAAGCCCCCGCCCCTGCGCGTGCCCACGCCCCGCGCGTGCTAGTGTAAGCCCCCGCCCCTGCGCGTGCCCACGCCCCGCGCGTGCTAGTGTAAGCCCCCGCCCCCGCACGCTGTGCGCCTGACGCCTGACACGACAGGCGGTACGGGCTGGGGCTGCGGGGCCGAGGTCGGGTGCGGGCCGGGCGCCGCCGCCCCGCAATCACGATCGCCAGTGAGAGTCCGGGCGGAGAGAGGCGGCGGCGGAGGCAGCCGCGGGGCTGGGGGGACCCCACGCGGACCCTGCCCACCCGAGGCGGCGAGGACGCGGCGGGGGCTGCGGGCCGCCCCTAGCGCCCCGGGGCGGGGCCCGGCCGGCCGCCCATCGCCCGCTCTCCGGGGCCTCCCGAGCGCTGCGGGCCGCCGGGACGGCCTCTCGGCTCCACACGACGCGGGTCCCCGCGTGGCGAGGGGGAGCCCGCTCCCCCTGGGGTCAACGCGCAGCTCCGAGGTCCCGGGAGGGCGGCGGGGGGCGGGCGGCGGCGCCGTCGCCAAGGAGACGGGGGCGGGTCCCATTGGAGGCGCGTTCTGGGGGCGGGCCCTCGCGGAAGCCACACCCACCCGGCTGTGGGCCGAGGCCCCGCCCAGGCCCTGGCTCAAGCTCAGGCCGGGCCTCACCGCCGGCCACGGCGCCAGCCGCACCTGCAGCCCTTGTAATGCGGGTAAGCATGTCACAGGGGTCACGCGGGTCACGCGGCACGGCCGCCCCTGACCGGGGACACTCTGTGGCTTCTTTTGGAATACACAACATCCAACTGAAAGTCTGCATCTCAGCTCCGTGCAGGCCGGCGCCGCAACCTGCAGGCCTCACACCAGCTCTGGGGGTGCCCGCCCGCCCGCCCGGTGCCCGGGACTCTCCTTCCCCCGGGAGGGGCGGGGGCTGGGCCGTGTCTCCGTATTCCTTCCCTCTGTTGTCTCACAGCCCGAAGGGGCAGGGGCTCAGGGTTGCACACGCACAGGCACTAGCCACAGCTCTTACTGACCCGTCCTCCCCAATCAGCATGGAGAGGATGCGCTCTCCCCCCTCCCCGGGCTCAGCGCAGAGGTGCTGTGCCCCTCTCTCGTTTCCTTTAGTCTCCCAGTAATCCTATCTCTCCTGTCTTGGTATTTCTTTTCCCAACTCGAAAATCCACAGCGAAACGGTGGCGCCAGGGGCTATGTGGAGGAGTTCCAGTGGTTCTGCCCTGGGGCGGGCGGCCTGGTGCCGCGACGCCGCCCTGTACATCTCACTAAGGAAAGGGAAGCCTGACTGTCCAGTAACATCTTTGTGACAAGAGGCTGAAACTGCTTCTGAGGAGCTACAGAGCCTCTTCAGGCCACCACCACCTGTTTATCCTGAGCAGTGCTGACAGCGATCACTGTTTCTCCCTCCCAGGAAAACTGAGCTAACGGTGTGGCCAGTGCCCTGCGGCTGGCACTGTACTGCGGCCCAGGTCCCTGTTGGTGTAGGCCACAGTCCACGTCTGCAGGCTGAAGGCAGACTGAAGCGCTGTCTTCCCGCAGCTGCCGTGCAGCCTCTGCCAGGCCTCTTGACGTGGCATATGGGGTTGAGTTCTGAGCTGCGCCATCGGCTCTGGAGCTGCTGGCCGGAGGCCCGCTCAGATTCTGGGCTCGGTCTGCATGACCTCTATTAGCTGCTGGACCGCAGACGAGTGACCGTCTGTCAGCCACCATCTCCTCACTTGCAGAGGCAGGACCTGCGTCGGGAGCTGCGAGAGGATGGGATGGACATCTTCATCCATGCCGGGAGGGAACTCAAGAAGGGTGTTCAGGGAGGGGAAGGAGGCAGGCATGCGGGGCCAGACGTCAAGTTAGAGACAGAGACATGACACTCAGCAGCAGACAAGCCAGGCATGATGGGGCTCGCCTGCAGTCCCAGACACTTGGGAGGCTGAGGTAGGAGGATCCCGGGGCCCCGGGGTTTAGGGCTGGCCTGGGCAACAGAGTGAAGTTGTGTTTCAAAAAAGGAACATGCTGACGGGAAGGGGAAGGGGAAGGCGGAGGACACAGCGGCTGGGGCCGGAGGTAAGGGGGCCCACAGGGCCCGGCGCCAGCGGCTCACACTTTCTCATTAAAGAGGCAGCAGAAACGCCAGGTTCAGAGCATCCTGAGATTTATTCCAGCCTCTCCCCCTCAGAGCCAGCGCCAGCGCTTCCTTGGCGCCTGAGGCGTGGGAATCCAGGCAGTGGTGGAAGTGGACAGCCGAGGGACGGGCACTCACCACGGCCCAGGGCTAGGGTGACTCCCCCGCCACCAGGGCCACCAGCGCAGCCTGCACCTCCTCCATCTGGGCCGGGGGCAGCAGGCAGTCCCGAATGAGGGGCACGGCCGCCGTCTCTGTCAGGCTGCCGAAGTCCTGGGAGGTTTTGACAGGGAGATGCCCGGCCAGCTCACAGAGGGCCACATTGAAGGCCTTGCCCTCCTTTACTCCAAAGCTGGGCTTCCGGGGCCACAGAATGACGCGGAGCCCCGAGAGCGTAAAGGAGGGCACCGCCTCTCCTGGCGGAGCCCCGCGCGTCACAAACACGTTGTGTGCGATCTCGTGCTCGCTCAGGTAGTCGGTGGCCCGGCACACCCTGCTGACCACGGCTTCCATGTCCAGCCCTGGCCTGCCCACGTAGAAGAGGAAGCCCGGCGCGGGGAGCGTCTGGAGCAGGTGCAGTCGGCCTTTGGGATCCAGGGGGATGCTCGGAGCCTGCTCCACAGGCAGCCTGTGATCCAGGTAGTAGCCGTGCAGGTGGAGGTGGTTCACGGAAGCCAGCCCCCCCAGGCTGTTGAAGCCAACGCGGAAGCCGGGGTGCAGACTCAGCAGCACGGCCTCCAGCCCGGCCCGCAGCGCCCTGGGCAGCAAGCGCTGTGGGAGACCGAGGGCAGGCTCGGGCACCAGCAACACGTGTCCGCGCTCCAGGGGACTCACATTGATCACCACCAGGATGTCACCATCCCCATCCCAGGGACCACGGGGCTCGGGGCGCAGACGGAAAAGAACCTCTCCCCTCGGGATCTTCCTGAAGTTGAACTGCTGGGGGTCAAAGGCCTGCCTCACGCTCCTGACGTCCTGGGGTCGCCGCCTCTGCACCCCGCGCTCCACGTTCAGCTGAGCCACGAGCCCCACGGTGCCCGGCAGGGTCTGTGTCTGCAGCTCGCCCAGGTGGTAGCGGAAGAGCCCCAGCTCCACCCGCTGTGCCCAGGCCGCGCACAGGGCAGCGTCAAAGCGGGACTGCGGCTGCGTGTCCAGGGCGCTGGGGACCTGTGGCCACTGAACTCCCTCCACCACCAGTTCCTCCTGCCCATAGGTGAAGTCAGGGACCACTTGCCCGTCCCAGTCCGAGGTGTTGGGAGACAGCAGGTAGGAAGTTTCGTTTAGATCACCGGGAGTCGCCATGGGCTGGCCTGAAAGGATCACAGACACGAAAAATAGGAGAGCAGCCCACCGCTAGAGGCTCACACCCGTCACCCCAGCTACTCGAGGCCGAGAGCTGAGGCTCACAGTTCAAAGCTGGTATGGGCAGGAAAGTCCTGAAACTCATCTCCAACTAACCAGCAAAAAGCCAGAAGTAGAGGTGTGACTCAACTAGCAGAGCACCAGCCTTGACAGAAAAAAGCCAGGCAAGAGCTCAAGGCCCTGAGTTTAGTTTAAGCCCCAGCACCGGCTTGAGCCATGTTTTAGGGGACATCGGAAAGCCGGATGCCGCCTTTGGGGCTCACTAGGAAGATCACCTGTCACTCAAGATACAGAGCAACACACGGGATTCCAAAAGCCTTCCTAAAAACCAATACAAAAGAAAAAGAAGCCTCATAATCCCCAAACCCAACGTTTTTCAAGGAAATGTTTTTGAAACAGTGACTTTTACAGAAGTTATGAACTGGTTCAAAAGAAAATAAAAAAGACATACAAGATAGACAACTTACATTCCAGTAATGATTTAACAATGTACAAAGACCATTAGATTAAAAAAAACTATATCTGAAATATAAATACTTGTGTGTGTATGCATGTGCTTGTGTGTACCTTTTACCCCAAACTCCACTCTTCACCTATGTGTCCTGCTTCTTTGTTTGTAAAAACCTTAAGGGCGCAGTGATTCGAATTTTCTTGGCTTCAATGACGTGTTGGAGGCCAGCGCGTCCTGGGGTGAGGACTGCGTAGCATCGGAAGGCCGGAACAGCACTCGACCGCGGTGATTGAACACATAAAAAGATGGGTGGTTTCTCAAGGTGTCGAATGTCTTCTTCTTCAGCTCTGAAGTGGCATCCATGTCTTTAAACTCCCCTGCAATGTGAACTATGCCGTAACAGGTAACTGCAAAGGCCAGAAGTGTCTGAAAAACAGTGTCTGTCGGCAGGGACTCGTCTTCCTTTTCTGTGAGGCGCGTATAGGAACGATGCTGTGCAGCGGAGAAGGCAGCATGGGCCAGGACGAAGAGGCCCAGGCCCACCAGTCCCTTCCACAGTGTGGGCGCCATGCCGGGGAAGGAGCGGCCCCCGCACCCCGCACCAGAGAAGGTGGCAGGGCTCTTCCCTCTTCCACCCGTGGACGTTTCTCGCAAGCTGCTGCTAATAATTCCTGAGACGATTCTTGCGTCCGGTGTGGTAGCAGGTGCCTGTAACCACAGCCCTCAGGAAGCAGAGGACGATCGGGAGTTTAAGGCCAGCCTGGGCTACATAGGGGGAAAGAAAAACAGCTGCTTTTTCTACCTAACACTTTTCTACATGATGGAACTCACACACTGATACAGATTGTGTGTGTTTGCATGTGTGTGTGCGTGTGTGTGTGTGCGCACGCGCGCGCGCTGCTACTGGGGCTTGAACTCAGGGCCTGGACGCTGTCCCTAAGTTTTTTTTTTTTTCACTCAAGGCTAGCGTTCTACCCTTTGAGCCATAGCTCTATTTCTGGCTTTGTGCCAGTTAATTGGAGGTAAGAATTTCATGGTCTTTCCTGCCTGGGCTGGTTTCAAACTGTAACCCTCCGATCTCGGCGTCCTGAGTAGCTAGGATGACAGTCTTGGTTTGTGTGGTTTCACTCATGCTTTTCCCTTGGTGGAAAGTCCTCCCCGGCCCTCTGCCCCGCTAGGCCATCCTTCAGCGACCTCCCTGAGCCCTGCAAGCCGTAGGAAGATCTCTATGGTTACTTCACAGTATGAAATGTCCCTGTGGTTACAGCTGATACAGTCTTAATGGAGTAATGCTCAGATGTCCACCTTCTGATGGTGGCTGGGTAAGCTACAGGCCACAATCACTCAGTAAATAAGTTAACAACTGTGTCCCCCAGGGACCTGAGGTTCTGGTTCTGAGGGACCAGGTCCTGGCCCATGGTTCTCAGGGACTAGACAGCGAAGAAATGTTCACCCCATCATAAACTCCAGTGACCCTCAGTGGCACACGCTACACGCTGTCTGGGAAAAGCACTGGCAACGGTGTAAGGCAGACATGACAGATTTCTGACGTCAGGGAGTCGGGGAAGACTTCCTGGAGGAGGCCTACCAAGACAGAGAGGCCTTGGGCTCTCATCTCCTACGGATTTTAAATTACAACTTACCTGCCCAGGTGTAGACGGCAGGTGTAGAGGTGTAGAGGGGAGGCTCGTGTGGCTGGCGGGAGGCCTTTGGACCTCTCTGTCCGAGGAAACAGAGGCACGGATGAGGTGGAAGGGTGCGGTAGGAGGGCGCGGGGGTCTCACCTCCTCCTGACAGCAGGTCAGCCCGCTCGGGTTTGCACTCGGTCAACGGCTACTGAGAGCCTACTATGCGCCGCACCGTTCTGGGGTTGAGAGGAGACAAAGCAAAAGGGTAGCGCGGGGTCCCCGGGCGTGGAGGAGACGCTCGGGGCCAGGGGCCTGGCGGGAGGGGCCGGGGGCCGGGGCCGGGGCCTGGCGGGAGGGGCCGGGGCCGGGGCTGGGGCCTGGCGGGAGGGGCCGGGGCTGGGGCCTGGCGGGAGGGGCCGGGGCCGGGGCTGGGGCCTGGAGGGAGGGGCCGGGGGCCGGGGCTGGGGCCTGGCGGGAGGGGCCGGGGGCCGGGGCCGGGGCCGGGGCCTGGCGGGAGGGGCCGGGGGCCGGGGCTGGGGCCTGGCGGGAGGGGCCGGGGGCCGGGGCCGGGGCCGGGGCCTGGCGGGAGGGGCCGGGGCCGGGGCCTGGCGGGAGGGGCCGGGGGCCGGGGCCGGGGCCTGGCGGGAGGGGCCGGGGGCCTGGCGGGAGGGGCCGGGGGCCGGGGCCGGGGCCTGGCGGGAGGGGCCGGGGGCCCGGGCCGGCCTGCAGCGGTTAACGATAGGAACCGGCCCGCCCGCGGGCGGATCCAGCCAGGACACCGCGGGAGGCCCCGAGCCTCCCTCGTCCTCCGGTTCCGAGAACGGAAGCCGGCCGCAGGCCGAGCCCGGCATGGGCGGGCCCCGGCGGCCGGCCTCCGGCCCCGGCCTCGGCCTCCGCGGGGCCGCGGACGGGGGAGCGGCGCGGGCACGTGCGCGGCGCCCGGGTCCCGGAAGCCCTCCCCGGGAGGACGGGTGGGGAGCTTCCCCAGACAGCGGGCCGCGGGAACCGGGCAGGTGCCCCTCAGCGGACCCCGCTCGGGACTGCGACCGCCCCTCACTGCAGGCCCCCGGACTCACCGCCGACACGTCCCGCAGCCGCTTTTCCGAACGTCCCGAGGTCGCGGCGCCCTTGGCGCAGGCGTAGTCGGTACCACGCACGCGGCGCACGCGCCACGCCCAAGGGAGGCGTGGTCAGATCCATAGGCTCCGCCCGGGAGCGTTAGGCCCCGCCCCCAGCGTGCCTGGGCGGGGCTAGGCGCCTAGGCTCCGCCCCGGCGCCTCCGGCCCCGCCTCCAGCGGGCTGGGACTGCGGGCGCGGGTGGCTGGCGGGCTGAGCGCCGCGGGGAGCCCGGGGCGGGGCCCGGGGGCGGCCCGGGGCGCGGTTGCCGCGGGGACGGGGCGGGGACGCGGCCCGAGGGCGGAAGTGGGAAAGTTGCGGCGTCCTGGGCCGAGTTGCCGGAGCGCGCGGCGCGGCCATGGGGGGCTCGGGCAGCCGCCTGTCCAAGGAGCTGCTGGCCGAGTACCAGGTGCGCGGGGCGCGGGGCGCGGGGCTGCGCCCGAGCGGGGCGCGGGGCGCGGGGCGGCGGCCTGACGCCCCACGCTCGGTGGGTTTGCCTTTTAGGACCTGACGTTCCTGACCAAGCAGGAGATCCTGCTGTGAGTGGGCCTGGGCCGGGGCCGGGGCCGGGGCCGGGGCCGGGGGCGGGGCGGGGGGCGGGCCCGGCGCGCGGGGGGCGCCGCGGTGCTGGGACCCGGGGCCGGACCGGGTGCGGCTCCTGGCCGCCCCCCCCCCCCGGGGGACTGACACGGACGGGCGGGGGACCAGGCTTTAATTTTGCTTTTTCTCCCTGTCTTCTAGGGCCGACTTCTGCTCCTTTCTCGGCCTCTTTGTCTGTCTTTACTTAGTGCGGTTACCGAGGCCTGACCCCGGGGCCTGCTTTTGTTCCAGGCTGGCACTCTACCGTGCCCCAGTCCTGGCTTTGTGGTGGCTAAAGGCACATAAAAGCCTACCGGACTTTCATACCCGGGCTGGCCTTGAACCTCCGTCCTCCGATCTTGGCCTTCCTGAGTAGCTAGGATGACAGGCGTGAGCCACTGGTGGCGGCCAGACTTAGCTAGCTCCCTTTGGCTGCCCTGGTTCCAAGTTCTCTGCATGTGACCCAGCCTCTCACCTGGTTATGAGGGTCGTGGGCAGGGGTGGGCAGGGGTGGACAGGGGCAGGTGGCAGTGCCCACAGGGGACCGGATGTCTTCAGAGCACCCACACGTCCTCCCTCCCTGCCAGAGCGCACAAGCGGTTTTGTGAGCTGCTCCCCGGGGAGCACGTGAGCGTGGAGGAGTCCCTGCAGGCCCGGGTGTCCCTGGAGCGGATCCTTAGCCTTCCAGAACTCAAGGTACGAAGCCACGCCCATGCTCCCTGCTGGGGCCCAGACATCCTGCCCTGGAGTTGACATCACTGGTCCCCCATTCTGGTCTTTTTACCCGCTGGGCCCTGATTTCCTGGCATCAACTTATCAAAGTACCTTGCAGGATTATCTAGAATGGTGCTTTTCAAAAAAGTGTTGTCCTTTTGAGGAACTGAGTGACCTCATGAGGGTCTGGGAGACCTGCCGCCCAGGCGGCCAAGTTCCCCCTCAGCCAGTGCCTGTTACAGTTGTCAAGTGTGTTTTAAAAAACAGCCAGCCGGTCTTGTTGCCTTTACATAGGTGCCTTCCTCTCCCCGCTCTGACCCACTTAGGTTGAATATTTCTTTTCTGGGGGTGGTCATGGGGTTTGAACTCAGGGCCAAGCATGCTGCCACTGAGCTGCATCTCCAAGCCACAGCTTTGGTGATTGAACTGGAAGCCCCACGTCATTTGCCAGGCCAGCAGCCGCACCAAGTGAGCCATACCCTAGTCCTCTTTACTTTTAGAGTCTCACACTTTTGCCCTCAGCTACCTTTGGACCTACCTCTGCCCTCCCATAGCTGGGACTACAGGCATGCGCTACCACACCTAGGTTGTATATGCTTTTGACTTATATGCCCAGGAAGCCATTCCTGCCCATTCATCAGCTGACTGGGCTGGCCCTCAAGTGCCCCCATGACCTTCCATCCTGGCCTAAAGGCCTCTTCCCCATGAGCCTGAGCTCTCTCAAGTTACCAGTGGGGTTTGCTCTGACCAGGCTGTATGTGGTGACCTTCCCTGTGACCTTCACCACGTTCTCTCACCTAGGCCAATCCCTTCAAGGAGAGAATCTGCAAGGTCTTCTCCACCTCCCCTACCAGAGACAGCCTCAGCTTCGAGGACTTCCTGGACCTCCTGAGCGTGTTCAGTGACACGGCGACGCCAGACATCAAGTCCCACTACGCCTTCCGCATCTTCGGTGAGTGCCGGTCCTCCCCACGGGCTTCGAGACCGCCATGCGTGGACACCGGGAACTCCTGACTTCTCTCTGGCCACCTGTGCCCTCTCTGCAGACTTCGATGATGACGGGACCCTGGACCGGGAAGACCTGAGCCGGCTTGTGAACTGCCTCACGGGGGAGGGGGAGGACACGCGGCTCAGCGCAGTGGAGATGAAGCAGCTCATCGACAACGTGAGTGGTGGCATGGGGGGGGGGGCTGGGCCTCACCGGTCCGGGGGTAAGCGGGGTCACCAGGGGCTCTGGTTTCAACTTCCCCTCTCCCAGATCCTGGAAGAGTCAGACATCGATCGGGACGGGACCATCAATCTCTCCGAGTTCCAGCACGTCATCTCCCGTTCTCCGGACTTTGCCAGGTGGGCATTCTGGGTGCTCAGGGGTCTTCACCCACCATAGAAGATGGTACCGGGGCGACAGTCCCTGCTTGTGTCCCAGGGCGAAGGGGCACAGCGCGTACCAGAAGGGAGAGGGCATAGTCCCTACCATCTGCAAACCCAACGTGGGCTGCAGCTGCAGGAGGCCGGGGGCTGGTGCCCGCAGCCTGACCCACACTCCTCTCTTGCAGCTCCTTTAAAATTGTCCTGTGACACCACAGTCCCTGCCCCGTCCAGGAACGCGCTGCTGCCCTGCCGGTACTCCTGTGAGGTGCAGGCTCCCCTGGCCGGCCCAGCCCGGAGCTGCCACGGCGGTTAGCCCCCAGCAGGTGGAGCCCCCCCATCCCCCACCACAGTCATCGGTGTGTTTCTGCTAATGAATAATAAAGCATGAGGAGTGTGATGTGCTGTGGAGAAGGGCTGGACTTTGATCACGCCGAGGGAGAAAGTCACAATCAAGAGGGACCAGCAGGACACCAAACCATCCCTGCCCCCCCCCCCAGATACTAAGGTGGAATGGGGCTGGCACTTAACGAAGACTGACGGGGGTCACGGTGTGGATTTATACAGGTGCAGTGCCCCACTGTCATAGATGCATTTTATGATGAAATCATTTGAGAAATTAAAAATTATGGAGACCAGAACTCAGCTGGGGGCACTAGGGGCTCACACCTATAATCCTAGCTACTGGGGGGCGGGGGGGGGGGCTGAGATCTAAGGATTGCAGTTCAAAGCCAGCCCGGGCAGGAAAGTCAGTGAGACTGTCATCCAAGCTCAAGCCCCAGCATCCACACACACAGAAAACAAACCTCTGCCCTCCCTGGCTGACCTGACCCGGACACAGAGTAAGGGGCTGCGGTAAGCGGGGTGACCCCTGCCTTCAGTGACCGAGCTCCCCCAGCTGCTTGCTGGCCAGCTGCCCCCAACTCCCTGGCCCCAGAGAAGAGGCCTGGCACCCCCAGAAACACCAAACTCAAGAAGCAGAAGTCAGCTGGGCACCGGGGGCTCACGCCTGTCATCCTAGCTACTCAAGAAACTGAGATCTGAGAATTGTGGTTCAAAGCCAGCCCCGGGAGGAAAGTCTGTGAGACTTATTTCCAATAAACCACTAGAAAATCAGAAGTGGCACTGTGGCTCAAGCGGTAGAGCGCTCGCCTTGAGCCGAAGAACTGAGGAAAAGCGCCCAAGCTGAGTTCAGGCCCCACAACCGAAAAAAAAAAAACAAAAAAGCTGAAGTCTTTTCACAGGAAGGGCATGACTACACATTTAACTCAACATTTATTAAAAAAAAAAAAAAAAAAGTAAAGTGCATCTTAAAAAAATATAAAACCCAGATGGAGGGCTCTGGGGCGGGCAGTGTCGGTCGGTGTCCCTTACAGTGGAGACAGGGGAGGGGTGATGGCAGAAGTAGAGGTGCGGCTGGGGTGTCCGGGTGGGGAGATGGGGGGAAGGGGGACACGGGCTCCCAGGGGTCCCTGGGGGCAAGTGTTCATGTCACGAACTCCTCCAGGCTCTGCTCTGCCCTCGCGTGGCCACGGCCTGATACAGGCCGGAAAGGTCCTGGGTGGCGAGGCTCTTGGGCCTCTCTCTGGTCCCTGAGGTGCTGGGGAGAGCCGGCCGGGCCCTGGAGCCTAGCAGGTTGGCTGTCCCGGCCCTGGCCGGGCGCGGGGGGCACCGGGTAAGGCGGGAGGCGGAAGAGGCCGGGTGGGTAGTGTGGGTCGGGGCGCCCTGTTGGGCCAGGGCGCTGCGCAGCCGGCGATCCTGCTCGGACTTCACATTTTCCGCTCTTCAGATGTAGGGCTCAGTTTCCTTAGGGAGCAGCAGCGTCCCGGCCCCGTCTCCGGCCAGGACAGCAGGGCCGTGGCAAGGGACCCTCGCTGCAGGGCTGAAGCCCGGGGCACCGTGGGGAGCTCCCGAGGAATGGGGTCCAGCCGGCCCCTCTGTGCATCCAGGGCCCCTGAAGCCGGCTCACACCACTGAGTCGCGGATCTCGGAGCCCAGGCGGACACGGGGCCGGGGACACACGGGGGACACCTCCACGAAGCTGTCCTGCACGCTCAGGGGCCTTTTCTCTGACTCGAGGGGGCCCCGGGGCCTGGGGGTGCTGTCCCACAGCGCCTGGTAACCCCGGTGGTCCGGAGGGAGGCTGGGGGGGCCGACGCCGTTGAGCGGCCGGGTCTCGGGGGGCAGCGCCGCAGGGTGGCTCTTGGGGTGCACGCTGGCACACTCCCCCTGCTTCAGGAAGGCTTTCATGCCGCCCCGGTACCGGTGGAGGAAGAAGAGCACCAGGAGCACCACGGCCAGCCCGAAGAGCGCGCACATGACCAGGAACTCTGTCCAGTAGGACCTGGCCGCGCCCCAGCCCGCCGCGTCCACGGCCGGCGCGCTCACACGGGACGTGCTGATCACCACAGGCTCCCTGCCGCCCAGCCCCGCACCCCCGTGCTCTGGCACCTCGGGGCAGTAGCTGGCCACCAGCTGCCGGACGCCCCCCTCCAGGGCCCAGCACTGGAACGTGCCCAGCCCCTGCTCACCACCCACCAGCAGCAGGGCCCCGCTGGGCAGCACGCGGCACGAGCCACAGGTGTCCACTGGAGCCCCGTTGTGCAACCACAGGCGGGTGGCCAGGTTGGAGAGGAGCGGGCAGCCCAGGGTGTTCACCGTGTTGGGCTGGACCTGAACCCGTGTACACGGCTTGCCTGTGGATGGCAGAGGCAGAAGGCGGAGTGAGGCTGGGGTCTGGGTTGGTCCTGGCTCACCCCCATCCCTCAGTGGCACCCCTGGTCCTCTACGGGCCCGGGACTGTCCCAAGCCTTGCTCTCTAGAGGCTTGCTTGCAGAGGGAGGGGGAGACGGTCAGGGAGGACCGTTAGGCCCACCCGGGCCTGCAAGGGGCCGTGTGCCTGGCCCGCGCCCGGCCCCCTCACCTGCTGGCACGAAAGACCTTGGCCTGGCTACAGAAACGTTGCACAGCTCCTTGGCGTTGGTCCCCTCGATGTCCTGGACCCAGGGCCTGGGGACCAGAGAGTGTGGGTAGGCCAGGGGTGCCACAGGCCGCGACCCTCGCACCTCCATGCAAAGCCGGACCCGGGCAAGGGGCCTGAGGCGCAGGTTGCTCCAGGCCTCGCGTAGTGGGTGGGCGGGAGATGGAGAAGACATCTCCCAGCCGAAGAACGTTACTCGCTGCCACTGCAACCAAGGCTGCCAAAAGGTTCCTGACCGTCATCACCACATGCACAAGGTCCTCAGATAAAGTACAGAACAACTGGGTCTGCCGTTATCTGAGTAACTCCATACAAAAAGACCCTCCTACTTTTTGCTTCCCATTGTATCTGGGATGGCAGGTGCACGCCCCGTGCCTAGCTTCTGTTGAGATGGGAGTCTCATGAACTCTCCTGCCTGGGCTGGGCTGGAGCCACGATCCTCCCAATCATGGCCTCCCTCCCAAATAGCTGGGGTGAGAGGCACGTGCCACAATGCCTGGCAAGAAAGGGAATTCTCAATGCACTCAGAAAATGGAAAGCTTCGCCAAGCACAAAGCCCCTGAACCAACAGCCTTGTTGCGTCTGTGGGTGGCGGCCACGGCCATGTTGGTGAAGCCTCAGGTCTGTCTGCAGACTCCTGCTTGGTCTTTCTGAAGCAGGCAGGAGTGTGTCAGGTAGGGTCTTGTGCTTTTGCTCAGACTGAGGTTCTCCGTCTTGGGTGTCCTGCATAGCTGCGCTCACAGGCCTGCACCATACTTGTTGTTTTTCTGGCCAGTCCTGGGGCTTGAACTCTGGGCTTGGGCACTGTCCCTCGGCTCCTTTTTGCTCAAGGCTGGCACTCTACCACTTGAGCCACAGCACCACTTCGGGCTTTTTCTGTGATTAATTGGAGGTAAGAGTCTCATGGACTTTCCTCACCAGGCTGGCTTCGAACTGTGATCCTCAGATCTGAGCCTCCTGGGTAGCTAGGATGACAGGCGTAACTCCCATTCTCCTGCAGCTACTGCCCACCCTGGCAGGGAAGGCAGCAGGGACTGACCTACTAGACTTCTGGGAGGAGAGGGGGGCGCAGGAAGAAGTATGCAGGGCAGGAGCCATAGCTCAAGAGGCGGAGCGCCGGCCAAGAAAGTGCAAGGCCTTGAGTTCAAACCCCAGGACTAGCAAGTTTTTAGAAAAGGAATAATCACGCCGAGCAGTCAGTGGGTGTGAATGGCAACGTCCAGAGGCTGGAGAAGCTGGGGAGGGGGGGGGGAGCACAGGCGCACTCACCGCGACTCCAGCTCGGGCTGGTACAGGCTGAGATGCCGGCAGCGGGTGCCACTCCACGCGCAGTAGGGGTCTCGGGCGAGGAGGCAGTCCCCACAGGTGGAGTAGAGGCTGCAGCTGGCCACAGGCACCTGGACCACGCCCGAGTGGGAGGAGGCGTACAGCAGCCCCTGGAGCGAGACATGGGGAGGGTGGGCACGGGCGGCCGGCGGGGCCGGCACCAGGCTCTCAGGGCCACCCCAAGGGCCTCTGTCAAGTTCCTGCCACCCCACTTTCTGACCGCCTAGGCATGAACCTCAATTCTCAATTCTCTGTGTGTGTGTGTCTGTGTGTGTGAGTTGTGGGGCTTGAACTCTGGGCCTGGGCGCTGTCCCTCAGCAATTCAGCTCAAGGCTAGTGCTCTACCACTTGAGCCACAGCGCCACTTCCTGTTTTGGTGGTTTATTGGAGATGAAGAGTCTCACAGACTACCCGAGCTGGCTTTAAACCGGGATGCTCAGATCTCAGGATCCTGAGTAGCTAGGATGACAGGCGTGAGCCACTGGCGTCCAGCTTTCCCTTGCTCTACTGCTTGAACCACAGCTCGGGCTCTCTGGTGGTTTATTGGAGATAAGTCTGTCACAGACTTTCCCGCTAGGGCTGGCTCTGAACCAGAATCCTCGGACCTCAGCTGCTTCCTGAGTAGCTGGGATTGCACCCAGCTCTGTTAACCCTCCCTCTTCCTGCGGGCAGGGGAGGGGCCCTGCCGGGTGCAAACGTAGGCCCCCAGCCTAACGCGGGGCTCTTCCCGGTCCCCTCACCCTGTGGCTGTCCAGGAGCAGGTTCTGCACAGGCTGTCCTGGAGAGAAGATCTGGAGCTCCTCGATGATGTGTGTGGACGGGCCCACGCTCACCGCCTTGTGCAGACGGCCGTCACCTGGAGGGCGCATGTACAGGCGGGTGTTCTGACTCGGGCCATGTCCCACCTGTCATGCTCCCCCTCTGCCCTCCCTTCCGCCTCCCCCACCAGCCAGTCAGTGGCAGTCTGCCTCGGAAGCTCACCAGTGCCCAGGAAGAGGACGTCGTAGGTGTGGTGCAGGCCGGGCACTCGGTGCACAGCCACGCGCTGGTAGCGGGCCTGAGGCTGCAGCAGCAGCGTGCGGCTGCGGACCTGG